TATGGTCGTTGCCTTTCCCCACATATATGTGTGTGTGTGTACTGAAGGCATGCTTCCAATATTATAAAACTTGGTTTGAAAGATAAGAACACATAAAAAGGAAGTGCCTCAATGGCAGATTACATTGCTGATATTCATTACTTGTGCAAGAGAATCTGCTAATGCAAGCTATGAAGCAATACATAATTATAAAAATTAAATAATATGTAATAGGTATAAAACAAAAGTTAAATAAATATTAATATCATTCTTTTCACATTCGTAAAAATTTATCCCCTGAAATTTTAAAGGCATTCAGTTCTTCCTAATGCTTTCAAAATTCTAATATCTTAGTTTTTCCTATTTTAATACAATTTTCCATGTTGGAAATGCTCACTTTGCACTGCTTTTCCTTTCAGGTTAAAAACAATCATCGTCCGTCCAATTTCACAAAAATGTTTTTGTTCCTAAAGACAGATCTGCACCTGATCATCCTCTAAATCAAATGAGTTTTATCGATGATCTACACCAAAATAAGGTTGCTTTTTTGCCAAATTTCAAGATTTAAAAAAACTTCAATAACTTGCCAGATACAGACAAAATCTTTCTTAAATATATTATTTGGAGAAGTTTCATCATGGGAGCACAGATCATTATTTATGATTAAAAATCACAAATTTAAAAAAACAGTTTCGAATCCTCTGGTCTACAGGTTGCTAGAAATATCTTAATAAATGCACATAGATAATTTGCATTTTTATTAGTAAGTTTGCCTTTTAAGAGATTTAACATGTTTACAGTAACATGCATTAACTTTTAAATTATCCATTTTAACAGCATCACAAACGTGTATTGCAAACTTAACAATTTAGCTGTAAAACAAAAATTAAGAGATTATTTATTACTGTTGTTTATAAAACTTAGTTCATGCGAGATACAATCTAACATATCTTTGAGCAACTGCACATACCTTCATGATGGTTATACATTACAAACCTTTAAAATTTCATTCTGAATTGTTCTTACAATTACAGTACTACTATTATTTTGCATATCGCTGCACTGTAATATCAGTTTTATCTACAAAAAGTATTTCTTTTTTGTTACTATACTTTAAAGATGAGACTGATATTATGAATTAGCACTTTTTGATAGGTTTTTTTAAGTTCAAACTATCTGATATTGATGTTAATATTTATTTATGAGCAATTATTTTCCTGCAAATAATGGTGCTTTAACATTTAGTTACAGATAACTAATTTAAATTCAAATGCAATTGTAAATTAAATTACAATCATTACAAATCCAAACATACCTTTGAAAGAGCCTCTCCTTGAACAATATTATTTGTAGTAACTAAAAGAGTTACAGTTTGAAGTAACTTTAATTCCTCTGTACCACTTTCCATTAAAGACCACAAACAAGTAATGATATTATTAGCAGCCATCTGTAACGCAAAGATAAATCTTAAAAAATGAAATAAAAAAGAAATTTTTGTAAACACTGTAAAATATATCTAAATTGCACTACTTTAACATAAATTAAACAAACAGTACATAAACACTTTAGCCAAATACTGCATCATCAAGTAAGCAACAATATTAGAAATGAAGAAAATGGCAAATTAAAGATTTTTGTGTGGAGCATCATCAATTTGAGAAAATTCAAATAACTGACATTAAACTTTACAAATCTAGAAAATAATACACACAGCCATAGAATATATTTTTTAGAACATTGACACTAAATAGGAAGGATCTTTCTAAAGAACTGAAAACTGAAATGGGAAGACATATGGTAATAAAAATATGCCCATTTTAATAGTTCATACTGCTGATATTTCACAGTAAAAATTAAATACTTCTGAACTAGTAAAAAAAATTTTCAGTGGAGTAAAATAATGCACTGAAAGTATGAATTCGGATAAATCAACAACTTATTTATAATGAAATCACAGGATCTTGTCAGAAAAAGCAGATATTTTTTCTTCATTTTTTTATTAGATATAGATATTTAAAACTGCGAAAAATGAATGGAAACAATAACACTTATTATTTCCATTTAAATTATCAAAAGAATTTGTAAAATATATTACATCTTAAAGTAAAATCTATTAATTATTAAATATATATTTTGAAACTGACTCATTCTTGCATCTCCAATTACACTCCTTCCGCTGATAAAAAGACTGACAAAAAATATGTCATAGGCTACAATAATTTTGATTCTAATGGGCAAAATAATTTGCTGTGAAACACGTTCTGCAAAGACTGTAGTGCTTGACTGTGTGTACTGAACTATATATTTCAGGTGTATAACACATAAGCAAGCTCAAATATAATTACATTCCTTGATTTTTTTTAAAGTTTATTACTGCATGTGATACCAATTTATTACTTTACTATTTAATAATTTATTGCTCAAAACTGTCTGCAATATTTGTTAAAATTCAATTCACAGTGCCCCACATAAAATAACAATAAAAGCTTTAGGTAAGTTTATTCCTTAACCTTGTAAAATGTTTAACACTTTGCATGACATTAATTTATACTCAATATCATCATTTACTTACTCACTTAACATAGCATGTAACATTTGCAATTCAGGTTAAACCTTTTTAAAGCTCTGCTAAAAAATATGTGTACAAACCTTCTAAACAAATATCCTCTAAAAGACAGGGGGTACTGTTGACAGTGAGCTCCATTTAATAAAATAATCAGCATAAAAACGTAACATCTTCAATTAGCAATGTGATGAAATATTATCCATATAGCAGTAAAGATAGCTGCACCTCCAAAAAGTTTAATTTTTCAATTTATTGTGAAGTATTAATAATAAAATTGCTTTTCAGATTTAAAAAAGAAAGAAAAGATTAATAACAAATATTTCATAAATTCACATTAACTCATATTCCATACATTCGGTTCCCTATTAATTATATAGAGATGAGACAAACACACTGAAAGTAAATAAAAGTGCAATGAATTCATGGTTTAACAGTTGAATGGCACAAACATTTGTAAAAATTTTGTTTTCACTCGTTTCTTCCTTCATTTAATCCATAAAGTGTCATGTATCACTTTATTCTTGCACACGGGAAAAATATTACTACAAGATTTATAAACATTACATAAAACATTCTTTTAAGAATTTATGATATTACTAATAAATTTATCAATTTCAAATATTTGCAGCAGGATTTAAATGCACAAGCTTATTCACCTGAGATATTTTCACTGATAAATGTCACTTGAACATGTGCACAGCCCAAATGAAATCATGTTCACAAGCCAGATCAGAAGGCAACACTGACATAAGACAATAATTTATGCTCTTAAATGTCTTTTTAAAAACTACAGTCATTTTAAATGTGCAGCCAGACAATCAAAGATATATAATTTTTCAAATATCCAGTATTTTTAAGTAAAAGAAAAAAAGTATACAATTTTGAACTACTAAATTCAGAAAATGAAATAATCTTGGTTTACATGATAAAAATCATGTTAAAACACTGCTTAAGGTTGCAGCACTTGCATGCAGTCAAGGTGCTTCGTTACCTGGAATCCAAATGAAATTGCTTGATCAAGTTTTTACTTTTATTTCTTTTTCTGTATCTTACTATACTTCTGGGTATGGATGTGCAGAAGAATGGAAGATTAAAGGGAAAGTTTCTATTATAACATGATTTAGAGGTGATTATGATGGGGTTCTCTAATTTTAAAGTTGTTTTTTTGCTGGGATTTCTTAATGATTCCAGCTATGTTCCATTCAATTACAAAACTGAATGTTCTAGGAATTAATTTACCAATGACATGCTGTTTTTATTGCTATACTAATTCACAGAGAGTTTATAAGCATCACCCTTTTATTTATTATTTTCTAGACATCAAACTAATACACTGAAGTTTCAGTACTTGTTTCTTTGGCAGAAATGTGGAATATATATACACCTGATGTATGTACTGTGTGGGAGTCATTTAATCTGTTCTCAATGATTTCTAAATAGATGGAATTGGGGTTATGGCAAGTTTATACACAATTTTTTTTTTTTAAACTGCATGGAATAATGAATAGCTGGGCCAAGTTTCAATGAATATAATTATGCATTTTGAGATAAAAGTTTCAATTGCTTTGAGTCGCATTAGTATTTTTAGGAGACTCATTAAGTAATACCATATTCTCGTTTATTATTCAAAGTGAATTACTGCGTGTTGTAACCAAGGATACCTTTACAATGCATCTTCACATATCAGGTTTTACTGAAAGTTTCCCCCCCCCACCGCAAATATCGTCTGCACAAACAGTTTATGTTGGTGTGTTTAATCATATTTTGTCAAACAATTTTTGGCATTTTAAAGAAAGAAACTTGCTTTAAAACACTGTGTAATGAAATTTTTTTTTAAATATCGTTATCATTAAGTACAAGGTTAGAACCATCATTTACTTCCAGTTCTGTTGCAAAAAGCAGCTACAGAATGTCATCAAATCATGTGTACAGCTTTAGGTACTAATGTTGTATCATATGAACACTGTGAAGGTTTGGTACCAAAAGTTCAAAAACAAGGACTATGACATTCAAGAAGCAGAGAGCTCTGCCAGGTTTACTGATGTTCACGAGAGCTGCCTGCGATAACTTAAAACAAATTACAAAATGACTGCACATGCATGGAATGAGAATCGACCACTTGTCCCATGTATAGAAAGGACTGTAAAGTTGCAATTAAATTTATTTATCATCCTCTGTCTGTAGTGACCATTTAATTAGAGGTCAATATGCCTCATCAGCAGTGGAGGGTGCCATACCAGTAACCAACAGAATTCAAACAAGACCTCATCATCGATATGCGAGAGGGTGGATTTTCATATTAAGCAATCGCAGCCCACATGCAGCCTAATGACACAACAGCAATGCTTGTTTGGAAGATATCAACAGAGGAAGGAGAACCACACAAGGTGAAATCCTGGCAGTGGGGCACGCAATAGCACAATGGCACAGGATGGCAGACACATCATACGCATGGCTGTGATGGATTGCACAGCATCCTCTGGTGTGTTAGCGCAAGGTTGGAGCATGCCTACTGGTGTTGTGGTGTCTAGCTCTATGGTTTGCCACCATCTGCTGCAGCATGAACTGCATGCAAGGGTTCCTCTACACAGGATTCTCGTCACTGAATCACAGATGTCTCCAACTTCAGTCATGTCAAAACTGTGCATAGCATGCCCTGCAACAACAAGTTGTTTTCTTCGATGAATCTCACTACAATTTGACATAAAATAATGGAAGAGTACACGTCAGATGTTACAGACGGGAACACCTGCTTCAACAGCGTGTTATCCAGCATTATACTGCACAAATGCCTGGCATCCTGATGTGAGGAGCTATTAGGTATAATTGTCAATCCCTAGTGCAGATTGTGGGCAACCTCAACAGTGATCGCTACGTAAGGGAAGTTATGGAGCCACAGGACCTTCCCATTCTTTCACAAATTGCAGGCACTGTATTTCAGCAGGATAATGCTCATGCAGGTTTCTCTAACTGCACAAATTTTCTTTAGGGCATAAAAGGTTTCACTTCTTCCATGGCCTCCTTATTCTCCAGATATGTTGCACATTGAGCATGTCTGGGATTTCATCAGGCAGCAACTCGCTCATACAGCTGGTGGAGAATATCATACACTAATCCTGAACTTTGGTGTCAAGTCAGAGCCATATGGAATGCCATTCCCCAGGATTACATTCAGAACCTGTATTATTCAATGCCACGACGTGTACAGGTTCTCATCGCTCAGTGTGGTGGACACACAAGCTACCGATTTCTGATGCTCACATTGTTTTTTTGCCTTATAAATTTGATAGTTTATTTATACCACTATCAATAATATGTGCATAAATTTCATTAATTTCCCACAATACCTTCATGGTGTTGCATTTTTACAAACATTAGTGAATATATACACATTCTTTGGGTCATTAGCATTTACACCAATATTTTGTACTTGCTTTCTACCAGTATACTCTGTAGAATTTGCAACATGATTATTATATCTACTACAGAATTATATTTTGCAACTTTGCATTTTCTGATTCCCTTCCCCCTTAGAACCTAGAAATCACTATTAGTGAGAACATACTTCTCTCCTAATATGAGAGGCTAGATAATACATTCCAGTTTATTTTTACTTTATTTAGAGGTGCAATTTTGTTTGCGTACCATTTTTATTTTATTTAGAGGTGCAATTTTCTTTGCGTACTCAATAAAAGCCTGGATATTGATATTCCTCTGCAACAGTTAGTGTTACAGGTTATTCCATACCTTGCATACTGCATTCTGTAATAATAACTCATCCTATATAGTCTGGCAATACAAGGACAGATCTCGCAAATCTTTCAACTTGTTGCATTGCCATTTATGCCACATGTTCCAGGATTTTCTAGCATGACACAAATTGGTTACACATGGTTTACATCTCCTAGAGGTGTCTCCAGTATACCGATACCCTCATTTGACCAACAAGATCCCAAAATCTCTTCCTAACTGAACATGTCCATGACATGCTAGATTGCTAAGTGCACCATCTATGAAATATTACCTGGAACAACTGCTAAAGGTGTACTAAAAGACAACATAAATCATTTAAATGCCTCCATGCCCAACCACATACTGGCACATATAACTGCCAGAGAGGGCTTTATGCCTTACTAATTAATAATGTTTGTGAAGTAACTGAAATAATTCTGTACATTTAATATTGTAATTTCCAAATCTGACTTTTCACACTTTACTCTGGAGGAGAAATCACAGTACATTTCACGCAAAACATGGTGTTGCATTTTTCACAAACATTAAAAGGCCCGCATATGCCACTCTCCTCCTTTTCTTTTAAGAAAATGCATGACATCTGAAATAATCATGGCATGTAAGGCATCTTACAGTTGATGAAAAATGATACACATGTTTTAACAATATTTAAAATACATAAAACAAGTACATATGTTTTTACACACATGAAATTTTAAAATACTTAAAACATATGTTTAAATAAATTCATTACTTATTTCCAAAATTTTTCTATAAACGCTAGCAATACTTATTATGGCAACTTACTGATGATACAGCTTCTTGAGTTATTAACCGCTGCATCGCAGTTAAACACATCTGAACAATCTTTGTATTTTTTGTATCACATCCAATGAAAAAGGGCTCCAAAATTTCTGGACTTTCAGAAAGGAATGCTAAATTAAATATAAAATGGATATTATTAATACGAACTGTACTACTATAAAAAAACATTAGTTCATAAACAGCCTTCATTCACTTGCTGAGAAGCAGATATCTTATCTACATTTAGCTGACATATTTCTGAACTCTTCGAAATTAAATTTTCCAGTTTCTTTCTTTGAATCAATTCACATAAATGCATAAGTTCTTACCAGAAGACTGCACATAAAATAGCACATTCAAACTAAAGATGAAAAAGCACTCTGGAATGAAACTATACTAATGCTCAGCTCAATAAAACTGCAACAAGGACAAAAAAACAGTTTTGTTTTTACAATGTCTGCGATATAAATATTGCATGACGTCCAAGATAATGTCTCACATATGTGCAGATACTTAGAACCAAATCACACACCTTGCTTCCTTCTTAGTGTCTGTATGATCTATACGAGCCAGTTATACATGTCTGCCCTCTTTAGCACTGCTGTGTCAAAATATCATTATAAGCCTACACGTAATTCCAAACATCCCTCCTGGACCCATCAGTTTTATACTCAGATGACAATGGTCAGAATCTAACCAACACTAGAAGCAACTTCGCAGTATGATAAGTTCCAGACACGGTTTGTTATTTATCTCCCCCAATCAAATTCGGAAGCACATTGTCGTATATTTTATCTTCTTACCATACTTTACTTTCCCTTTGGAGCATAATCTATACTTTCAGCCAAAAAAATAAAGATAAAATACTTTCCCATACTAAAACCCATTCCCTTCTCTTTTACACTAATTGCAAATAGTATCATAAGTGCCCATTATCTGCATATGCAGTGCATTCCCTATCATATTTATATCCCACAAGCTCTGGATATTATATAAATTTCACTTCAATCAGTTGCTTCTTTCATGATCTTCCAGTATTTGTATAGCTAAGTGATAGAATATATTTTAAATACTGCAACTTAAAAAAAAAAAATTAACAAAATATTTTCTAAACACATTGATAGAAATTCAAGACATAATGATAAAAGTCTGCAATAACAGATTACAAATTATAGTATAATGAACAGCAGTTTGATGCAGAATACTAGTCCTATACATAAAATATAGCATTTACTTTTACTATCATAAAGTACTTCCCATTTTGCCACATGAATGTAAACAAAACTGAACGATTACTTTTCAAGAAGTTTTGTAAAAGTAATAACATTTTCAAAACATAATGGAAAATTGTTCAGCTATCAAGTTTTGATTACTAAGGCACATAATTACAGCTATTTTATCGCCGTGTTTAATAAACCAATCTTTCACCTCAAGTTGCTATATAAATAAAAGCTTTATCATCTTGAAAACAGGGATGTATTACACAGTGCTGTTTATATCACTGGCTTAAATATACTGTAGTTATTACAAGATACTTGTCAAAATAAAAACATCTAACATTACACTATAACAGCCCATACTATCAAACCTCTGCCTATAAACTTTATGCATCAAGCATGGCAGAGAAAATGAGATGCCATACTTACTATAATGGAAAAAAAGAAAAGAATGATTTAACAGACCTGAATATAGTATTCAGGGCATCCACTTGCAATAATGATGCACTCAGCAACACTATACATAATTTTTAATACAAAAAAAAATCAGTGCACATTTCACAATATCGCCATAATTATGCAATTTATAAAATTATCCTATTAAATCTCCTTAACTGGCTTTAATTTCAGTATCTGCCCTCGCTTTAAGAACTAAGAGCTTTGCTGTGTTTTTGTAGCAAACTAATGTCCTCACTCAGTGACCATTATCTAATTGAAGTCATACTTTTATCTCCAGCTTTCTAGTTTAAAAGCAATATACTTGCATTAAAAATTTAGTAATCATCATAGTGGATACTTTTCTGTTTTATCAAAATCCTGCTCTTGAATATTTTAGAATATGATGCCTTTCAACAACATTCAATTAACCAAGCCACCAAGGAATTTCATTAATACATTCACTAACTGTGACTTATAGAAATGTACATGATTTCATTGGCTTATGAACAAGACTAATGAGTGCTTCTTGAAGAATGATTCAGTATTCAATTTCAATCATCTAGTCAATCACTCAATTTGGCATACACTGCTTATCAAAATTAAAGGATAATCTGGAAAACTCTGCTCGCTGATTAAAGTTTCCAGTTTATGTCCAATGGTGTACTAATTTAAGTTCATAACCTGCAACTTGATACAAAACTGGACTTTTGTGTATAGGTTATGGCAAAAAATATGTAAATTAGGCAACTAACAATGTATAGCACAATGGATGCATGTTGGACTTTGGGTGTGCAGTACTGTTAAATGTAGTTCCTAAAAATGATCAGTAATGATTACGACTTAAAAGCATCGACAAGGGGAAAAGTGGCACATAACATTCAATGCCGCAAAGAGAAATGATACCACATACTGTTTACTGGCAAGTTCAGAAATGATTTCATTATGATTCCAGTCATGTTTTGACCTAGAGGGAGTGAGGAATGTACAACTTCCCATCCCATGTTAGATCTCATTTCCACAGAAATGGTTTCACAGTTTGGGATGAAATCCTCAAATGACCACTACAGTTATATAACTCTAATGGACATTGTGTGCTATGTCACAGAGGTGCTGTTGGCCCTAGATTATTTGCTAGTGGAGAAGGCTTATTCACATTCAATAGCTTTGTTGTCAGAATACTTGGAAACAGAAGATAACATTTGAAGGGACTGGCTAGCTTTTTCACTAGGCTTGATTCTGATTCAGCATGAGTGGGATGTCTTTAGGCCATTGAGCTGAAATGTGCCAAATGCTTCCATGGACTTTTCAAAACCTGAAGAGGGCACTTTCAGAAGAGTGGGAAGCTATTCCATGAGACTTCATTAACAGTTTTGTATATTCTAGGAAATCAAGATGAGAGATTTGCATTTCAGTTACAGGAGATCCATACACCATATTAAGGAAAGACCTGGTGCAAAACAGGACACATCTCATTTTTTGCCCCATAAATTTGAACAATAAAGTCAACATTTTGAGATTAATCAGGTGACAAACATGATAATTTATGTTAAATAATACTTTTGTACAAGCTGTTTTCAACCATGTATCAGCAAGTAACATTAAAGTTTCACTTCTGCCAGTATCTATTATTTCTGATTAAAAGTGAATTTGAAATTAGGCTTTATAGTCCTTTTACCTATATTCATACTTGTTTCTTTAAATGTATGTTATCTTTATAAAAACTATTTTAAAAGTATGATGAATTCAAAGCAAATTCAATACCAAATATAAATATGCTAATTGATGATCAATGTATTTTATTCATAGATTGAAATAATGAGTATTAAGTGTTATTCACTTTCTTCACCAAGAGGAACAAAAATCAAAGTCATGTTATTCCTTAAAAAAATTACAGAAAAAAAAATGCCACAACAGTACATTTGAAAGTTCAGAAGATGTGAAAATCCAAATCAAGTAATACATTACTTTCATTAAATGGCATCAAAATCTTCAATAAAATGTTTAGCTATAATAACTTCATTCAATTTAGTATTTACTAAAGAAATCTTAACAGTATTGTTACAAAATGTCCAGCTGTGGTAAGATAGCTTCCAAGCAAAGCGGGTACAAGGGTTGTCAGATTTGGCGCAAAATTGCTCATTTGGCAACATGCCATAGACAGATGGAGAACATTCTAAAATGAATTCTTAACAATTTTGCCCAGAATGTTTTCGAAGGCAGGCCAAACGCTATATATACCCTGCCTGTATGCAGAGTACCAGTGTATTGCCAGTTACTGAAACGTGAGTTGGTGCATTGATAGTGCTTTGTTGAGGCTATTGAGTGTATCGTCAAGCGCATTACGATTTCTAGCATGCAAAGTCTCGAGAGTACATTGAGTTCCGAGAATGACTGAACTGAGTTGAGAGCTGTACTCTAGTGCTTTGCGATGAAGTTGTCTTCACAGTTATAGCCCGAAGGCTGCATTGCTGATTGTTTCAGCGTTTGTCATAGTTTTTCGATGACTGTAAATGTGTTTATGCAGCTGTCCTGAGTAGTACTAGCTAACAATATTTGTTTTCATTCTTCATCGAGTGTTGTCGTCAATCACTCCAAATCCATGAACCCGTAGTTGTCGTCAATCACTACAAATCCACGAACCCGTAGAAATGCAACAGTTATGTTAAACATCTAAACACTTTTAAGAGCAAAAACAGAAACTGGAATCAACAAATTGAAAAAAATCTGAGATAATCTTCCACCATAAATCAATGATACCCCTTTATTCAGAATGAAGTAGGTTTTGTACAGTCTTTTCACAACTAAACATTCATGCAAACTTAAATTTTATTATATTTCCAAATATTTTTCTGTTGCCAAATGTGCACCAGATGTGGTAACCTACTTATACCTTCCATGAATAACTAATAACAAGCCTGAACGCCATATCAAATTTTTGCAATTCTATGATTTTTTTAAAGCAAAAACTTGCTGTGTACAAATACAGAACTGTTGTGGAGAACAGTTAACTTCATCTATTTTTGCAATCTATTTTTGCTTGCAGAAACATGAGGATTGCACATATTTGGTATCATGCACAGATTCAGGACTGTGTACATTATATATATGAAACATTACTATTATTAAAAGCTTTTTTTTTTTTTTTTTTTTTTTTTTTCATGAAGCTTTGTGTATCATTAAGGTTCTGCTATGCAGTTAGATTTCCCACCAATAAGACTGTTGGTGCAAGCATTAGTACACGATAACAGAAAAATACCTACTTCTCATTATATATATTAGGTAATATTATTAAAATAATTGCACTTTTCTGAATGCTCGTAAATTAAGTTGAACATCTTTTGTCGAATTTTGTTGAACAAAAATAGAAAAAACTTGCAATGTAGCTGCATAATTAGCATATTTTTATTCAAATGTTCAATGCATAAAATTTATATCAAACTAAAATCAAGATGACAGATTTGCATTTCAGTTACAGGATATCCATACACCATATTAAGGAAAGACCTGGTGCAAAACAGGACCTCTTTTTTGCCCCATAAATTTAAACAATAAATTCAACATTTTGAGATTAATCAGGTGACAAACATGATAATTTATGTTAATGCTTTTGTACAAGCTGTTTTCAAAGAATCAATTTCAAACTACACAAAAACAGATTGTCCATGAGCAGCATCTTTATTATAAATGTAAATCTAACGAAATTTTCCATGAGTAAAAAGATACTTTGAAAGTAAAATTCAGCAGAATTTTTTTTAAATGCACTATTGGGCCAGTAACATATTTAGATCAAAGGAAAGCATGCAAGTTTAACTAAGAACCCTCCTCAAACTATGCTAAATCAAAATCTTTACAAAAAAACTCATGTAAAAAGAGAATCGGATGTATTTCGCTTCAGCAGATTTTATTATTATTTTTTATAATTATGATGAGTAATGAAAACTGTTTCCTCTGTAAACAGAAAACTAAAAATGCGTTGAATAATGATGTCATTAGATAACTTAAAGTCAGCATTACATTTGAATTCATGAAATAAATTCTGAGACACAATTCCTTTTCTAGCATGGTCCCATGTCTGGAAAATACTTTCTTCAATATAAATACTTTCAAAATTTATTAACAACACAAGAGATTATGATTTTTGTATTATGTAAATAAAAATGCTTTTGGTGAATAAAACTGTTGAAGTCTGTTCAAATGATAATCCAGTCTCTCAAAATTGAATTCACAAAATATATGCAAGTATTCTATGATATTTTTAAACAAATATCAAGCTAAAATTTAAAATTTTAAATGACCTACTGTTAGTTTTGAAATGAATGATTCATTAGTGAAAAGCACCATGAATGACAGTAAGTTACCCATGAATCAAAGAAAAATTCACATATTCTACAACTTAAAAGCAAGAAGTTGGATTACTCTATGAGGATCTCGACATTAACTTAACTTCTATAATCTTCAAAAATATATCAAAGCAAAAATTGTTCAGATATGATTAAATATGAGCACAATTATTAATGTTTTATAGGTGAATATGCTGCAGTTAGATATAAGATAAGAATTAAAGGGATTATTATATTTAGCAATATTTCCAGCAGCTTTTAAACAGCAGTAACTTTACAACTTATTTTAATTCTTTTTTAATTCTGTCACATTTCAAACCCAAGTAAAGAGATGAAAGTGATTTTCCATTTTTCAAATTTCAATAAAACTTGGTGTAATATAAACTCATTATGGAAACTTAGCAGCAAAATCCAAAACATTTTGTGACATTAAACAGTAAGCATTTTTATAATTTATATTCTGCATTAATAATAATAAAAATTTGGACATGATATAAGTGAATATTTTAACATACCCAAGCGTATGTCATCATGCTTTGTTGCAGCATTCTGTACTTTAATAATACCAGATTCTGCAGCCTATTAAAAATAATAATTATTAACTAGGTATTCATACCAAATGAAGTAAATTAAAGTATGTATAGAGTATATATTAAAGTATATATACTGCCTATTATAAAAAGATGAAGAAAAGTTAAAAAGAGGTGAGATAGTTTTCTAAATGGCATAAAAAATCAACACAACTTAAGATAGGTATAAAATTAACAGAAAATCTTCTGAGAATTAGAACAGCAGTACTAGTTGAAGCAAATATGCAAATATGAGCACAGAAAAAATTTCTTAAAAAGTATTTTTGATGTAATGTACACATGATCCATATAAATGTTCCCAAAAATTAACTGAGATGACATTCTGTTTTATTCTGAAACATTTATGATAGTAAATAAATTTTATGCAAAATGTTTTACAACATTATTATAATACACAGAGGTCATCAAGCTGTGTACATTAAGGAAATGTTTCATTATACACTGAACTGCAGTGGTAATAATTGTATCATCTGTAACTAAAAGGCTTTCTAGAAGTACTAACAGAGAGTATATACACAATCTGTTCTTTAACAATCATATGATATCTAGAACTCTGTGTTGCAGGGCAGTCAGGTAATTTTCACAAAAGTATGGAATTGTTGAGTATTATTTTGTTGTTATTTTTGTTGTAAAACTGTATTTGAAACTACAGTGACCATTAAAATGTGCCAAGACACCAATATTCATTCCAGCAAGATGATGCCATTTGTCGCATATTTGAAGAAATTCGAAAATTTCTTGTGTGGAGTGTTTGGGAACCATATTATTTGAAGAGAATTAGGCCTCTGTTATCACCCAATTTGTTGGCCAGTTTTTTCCTGGTGGGGTACTTTAAAGGAAAGTTTCACACAAATAATTCACATACACTGGAGAACTTTATGAAGGTGACTAATGATGCATGTAGGTGCTCCATAAAGTGGCTTTAAGCATTCTAAAAAGAACATGGGCATGTATTACTGAACAGAACTGCCATTGTAGGCGTATGTTATAAAGGCATGCTTTCAAGTTGCATTCGTGCAAATAAAGCAATAAATATTAGTAATTTGTAAAGCATGTCTTGTAGTTTACTAAACCAACAAACTTTATTTTTTGTAATTTATAATATATCAGTTTGTAATAAACCAGCAAACTTTACCTGCTTACTGTAGTGTGTGCGAATTTTTAATTCTCCAGTATAAAATACATAGTATAGCTAGTTAGTTTATAAGAAATAAATCAACAGTTCAATATAATGGAAGACTATAAATAAACTTCATCCTCCAACTTATTTCATCAATACAGGGTATTTCATATCTATGATACTTAAATCACAAAAGCACCAGGTTTATTTGCCTCTGATGAGCAGAAATTTCTCAAAATAAATTAATTTTTTCAAATATCAATTCAAAAAATAGAAATTTGCATATTATTATTCAAGTTCTCATGTAAAATTTTTTAGTCTAAAATTTTATATACTAATAACATGTTTAAAAATGTCATAATGGCATATGGAAATACAGGGTGAATCTGAAGAAGCGGGAAAAACTTTAAAGGGTGATAGAAGCAGTTATACAAGCAATAATCATCATAGAATGTATGGTCGGAATGCAAACGGCTAGCTGCTAGGTGGCATTGAAAATAAATGGTATAAAAAGTGTTGGTCCTTGCACCCAATGGCATTTTCTACTGTGGATTGCCGAGAGGATTGCTGGTTATACGAACCACAAAATTTCCAGGGCGATGGATTAGTCGAAGTGGTCCCACAGCCTGGCCACCAGGATCACCGGATCTCTCGTGTCTGGACTTTTTTTACTGTGGGAACATATGAAAACCCTAATCTAAGAGTGCCCCATTGAAACCAATATGGATCTAGTCGCCAGCATTGCTGTTGTTAGTGGCGATATTTGGAAAATGCCTGGTGTCTTTGCAAATGTGCATCAATCCCTATCCCACAGGTGTGAAGCCAGCATTACACCTGGTGGAAGTCTTCTGAGCAATTCCTACGAGCATGTTCTGTTAATAAAATATTTTCTGAAGTATCTCTTCTCATTCTTGTGTTAATTCTTTAAATGTTACAGTGGAAAATTACCCTTTTAACTTCTCACCACTTGCGCTTTATGACAAATATTGCTCGTATAGCTGCCTTCTATATAACCCCCTACAGTTTTGTCCATTTGTTCAGATTCACCCTGTATACAAGCATTGCCTCAAAAATAAAATTACTGGAAAAAATATTCAACTGTTGCACTTTTATGAGTGTGCTAAAATTACAAATTCAAGAATCTACAAAGCATATACATTGTGCTAAAGAAAGGAATGAGACATATGTTCCACTTTCTTGGCCAATTGATAAAATCTGAATTGCATTCTTAATATCTTATGGTGCGTGAGGGTTATGGCTTGGTGCATATCCTTCAAAGACATGACTCCGCTTCATTAAACATAACTTTATTCACATACACCATATTTTAACACAACTATCCTAACTTAATAGAATAACATAACAAAAACTCCTACAGAAAATTCATACATCCTACCCTCAAGCTAAAGGCAAAGTGGACGAGTTCATCATTGTGCTAACAGTTCTTACGTACACAACATGACTTGGATTGGCGGTGCACGCAGCTGAAAATCAGACTGTCACAGAGTATCCCCCCCATGACACAATCACAACACAAAAGGGGTTGGCTGTAAATTTCCAGTTTAAGATATGCACATTCACATAAAAAATATACTTAAAAATGTACATTAAAAAAAGAAAAGAAGAGAAATACAAAATATATGAATAGTAATAATACACTTAAATTCTAATTGAAATACACCCATATAATGCATAACTTGGTTAAAAAGAAATATTGAAAAGTTAATAAGAATTTTACGTAATTCCCAATACTTATGCAAAAGAAAAATTAATCAAGTATTTATACAGTATGACTTTTGCAGCAAACCACAAGAGAAAACTTCAATCATATTACTGAGACTAGTTTTTTAGGAAAATGAACACGACGTCCATTGTGGGTAACTACTTGTTTTGGAGCAATTTTTGAGTCTTCGCAGACTTCCTGTGGAATATGAGGAATTGCAGGTTAATCTATACGTTCTGACAACATATATAGTGGTTTTAAACAATTGATTGAAACTGCAATCTGTTTGTTATTTACCTCAATGATAACATTTTTGTCCATTTGTTTAACAAATGGACGGCATGAGACCCAGTGTGAGGTGGAGTTAGATGAGGTTTAACAGAATCGATATGCAGAAATACATGAGAACAGGTTTTAACATGCCGAGTGTACATAAATTGATGGCTGAACATGCCTAGAGGTTGAAATCGGTCTAAATAAATGCATGACTGATTGAAGCTATGACACATAAGATTTAGAATGAGATATGAAATTAGTAGCATTAAGCATATCTAAGGGTAATCTAAAGTGCGGTACCATAAACAAGTTCAGCACAAGTAGCATTTATAGCTTTCTTAATGGCAGATCTGATACCCAACAGAACTACAGGCAGAATTCCAGTCCATTTTGAATTGTTATAATCCATTATTGCACTTCTAAGTTGCCTATGAAATCTCTAAATCAGCCCATTGGACTGAGGATGATAAGTAGTAGTTCTAACGCAATGTATACCCAAAATCTTCATTAAATCTGCAGATAACAGACTATGAATTTGAACTTTAAATGAATTCATTTAACTAGTGTTATTTTAGGAAACTGATGATTGATTAATTATGTATGGGCATTTCTTCCCTAGTGCCCCCCCCAGCGTTGATGATGGAAAACTTGTGAAGCCACTGGCTAGGATCTCTACCTAGACAGTCTCAGCTGCAGGGTATAAAAACACGAGCCCGACGGCTTCAGAGCCCCGAGATGAACATTTCATTACAATCAGATCCGGGGGATTGGTGTAAGTCAAAACCGATGACATCAGTAGTTCAGTAGGGTGGGTGTGCTGGGCAATGTCTTCAGCGATGGCGACAGGGTATGGTGACCCTTCAGGCTTAGTTCGAAAGTGAGGTAAGAGAGAATTTTAAGAAGATCCATTAAACCCGGTGCTCGGCAAGTGAATTTGTGTCATCTCTCAGGTGATTTTTGGTTGGACTAACACCCGTTGCCTAATATGGGGGTCTTCAGCTGTGTAGTTGCATTCAGTTGCAGGAACAGGTAAATATTTTGTTGTTGTTGTTCCCTAGTGTTTTATGATACTGTGTATTAATGCATTTCAGGAATTAAATTTTTGGCTTCTGTATATTGCTATAGTTTTCTAATATTGCTAATCTGGAATGTATTTTCAGGTATTCCATTAGAGACTGTGATGGTATTGATAATTATGATAGATAGCATATTTATAGAAATTGGGAATGAGATGCAATATTTTGCTATTGCTAAAAAATATGCACATTCTGAATTTTTATACTATGGCATTAGAGAAGATTTACCACCTTTTACTTTGAGATACAAAGGCGAAGAGAAAAATGCCAAATTCAATTTCGGGCATAAACAGATACAGATCTCTCTTCATCAGAAGGAAATAAATCTGCAACAAAGGGAAAGGCCATGGCTCTATTTATACTTCTGCCAAAAGATAGTATTATCTGTTTGCACAAAGAATAACAAAAGCTGAAAAATTAAGTTAATAGAATTTTAAAAGCGTTAGGAAGGACTGGATTGGAATTAACGCCATTAACTAAACAAGATAAATATTTGTGGATGTGTAAAGCATTGAGAAAATTCAATTCACCAATGAGTCTTGATAACATTTTGAACTATTGTAAGGATTATGTTAATTTTATTAACAGTTAAATTTTAAGTTCCTTTCCTGTCAAATTCTTAACTTCAACTTATTACTTCCAGCCAGAACATAGTTTTAGAATCACTCTGAATACGTAATGAGGAAGAGCGGTATTTAACTGCGAAGTTCTACTTGCTGAGTTAGAGAGAATCAGAGTTTCTGATTTGCACACGTCTGCCTTTTGGCTACTCTCTCTCAAAGCTATTATTATTGCTCGGCCATAC